CAGACTGACTGATGTTTGTAGTGGCCAGGCTTAGGCTTGGTTACAAGTACTTCTGGCAGTTTGGGAGACACACAGATGATGATCAAACTAAATGTAAATTATGTGATCAGGCATATGGTCACTCTCTTGAACACTATGTGCTTAATTGTCCACTTATTGAGGAATACAGAGACAGACAGTATAATAACCTATGTGACATGTCAAGATATCTTATTAATGAAAATAAGATACCAGATATACTAAGCAAATTTCCTAAATTTGCTTGTAACAGATAAGTGAACTATAGATATGTAGATATAAATCCATATGTATTCCTGTTAACCCTTTGGGGCCTAGTTCCTAGGCCTTTTGTGTATCCATATGCTCTCGCGCTACCGTCCACAGGATGTATATGGGGTGCACAATACCTGGAGTTTACCTGGAGAGAGTTCCGGGGGTCAACGCCCCCGCGGCCCGGTCTGTGACCAGGCCTCCTGGTGGATCAGAGCCTGATCAACCAGGCTGTTGCTGCTGGCTGCACGCAAACCAACGTACGAGCCACAGCCCGGCTGATCCGGAACTGACTTTAGGTGCTTGTCCAGTGCCAGCTTGAAGACTGCCAGGGGTCTGTTGGTAATCCCCCTTATGTGTGCTGGGAGGCAGTTGAACAGTCTCGGGCCCCTGACACTTATTGTATGGTCTCTTAACGTGCTAGTGACACCCCTGCTTTTCATTGGGGGGATGGTGCATCGTCTGCCAAGTCTTTTGCTTTCGTAGTGAGTGATTTTCGTGTGCAAGTTCGGTACTAGTCCCTCTAGGATTTTCCAGGTGTATATAATCATGTATCTCTCCCTCCTGCGTTCCAGGGAATACAGGTTTAGGAACCTCAAGCGCTCCCAATAATTGAGGTGTTTTATCTCCGTTATGCGCGCCGTGAAAGTTCTCTGTACATTTTCTAGGTCGGCAATTTCACCTGCCTTGAAAGGTGCTGTTAGTGTGCAGCAATATTCCAGCCTAGATAGAACAAGTGACCTGAAGAGTGTCATCATGGGCTTGGCCTCCCTAGTTTTGAAGGTTCTCATTATCCATCCTGTCATTTTTCTAGCAGATGCGATTGATACAATGTTATGGTCCTTGAAGGTGAGATCCTCCGACATGATCACTCCCAGGTCTTTGACGTTGGTGTTTCGCTCTATTTTGTGGCCAGAATTTGTTTTGTACTCTGATGAAGATTTAATTTCCTCATGTTTACCATAAGATAAGATTTCGTTCGGATTTTTAACCCGGAGGGTTAGCCACCCAGGATAACCCAAGAAAGTCAGTGCGTCATCGAGGACTGTCTAACTTATTTCCATTGGGGTCCTTAATCTTGTCCCCCAGGATGCGACCCACACCAGTCGACTAACACCCAGGTACCTATTTGCTGCTAGGTGAACAGGACAACAGGTGTAAGGAAACGTGTCGAAATGTTTCCACCCGCCGGGAATCGAACCCGGGCCCTCCGTGTGTGAAGCGGGAGCTTTAGCCACCAGGCCACCGGGCCACTTCGGTGGCAAAATCTAAAAATCTAATCTGTCTGTTGTACCATAGTGTACTCACTCTCCACATCAAAAAGTCCTCAAATGTAGATCTGGTGACGTGGCCAACATAAAAACGAAATATCATACTGAGCACTACTGTTTATGGAAAATCATGATATCAGAGCTAAACCTAATGAACCTGATCATGAGCAAATCCAATGTTTAACATCTGATACACGACAACATAGGGATATTTTTTTTTTTTACTCAATGCTGGATACCATGGAATATGGCCTGTACTTCCTTATACGTTGGCATTTTACCCGGGGTGGGGAGGACTGCCAACAGGGCTAGAGTTTCTGACGCATTTGAGTTGCAGTTTTTTTCTCCTTAATGTGATCCACAAGTCTACAAACATGTGCCAGTTTTTCATTGCTAGATGAGCAGGAGCAACAAGGGATATCAAATGTGCTCATACATGTCGTTGGCCCAGGTATTGAGCCTACGACCTTTATGCTGTGAACCTTGTGGCTGATGTGCATTATTATTATTATTATAATCAAGAGGGAAGCGCTAAACCTGGAGGATTATACAGCGCCTGGGGGGGGGGGATGTGGAAGGCATTCAGGCTTAAATCGGGGAACTTGAGCACAGATCCAATTCCCTAAATCAAGAGCCCCTCACCAACATCAAGGAACCTTCCTTGAGGGGGGCTGATGTGCAGCCATGATTGATCCCCCTCTCACCCACCCACAGTCCTTCACCGCTCACCCGCTCACGGGTTTAACGCTTTAAAGGAATATGAGATAACTCAGTAGCGAGACTGTTAGGCTCACAATGAAAAATTTGCCGGGTTCAGCTCCAGGTCACCGAGATATATGGACAAGTTCACTTAAACTCGTGCTTGTCTAATGGTATAAATAGGTACCGATTTTGGCAACCTTCGTGGGTAGCATCTAGAGAAAGCTTCACTGCATGTGTTAGGCAATACAGTTTTGTTATAACGCTGAATAATTCATACAGGTTTAGTGTGTTTTCTGAAATTAGTAAGTTTATTTAGGCACAGTTACACATAAGTACAATTATCGTTCGGTGTAAATTACCTAGGATAACCCCCAAAAAAGTCAAAATGACTTATTTCCATTGGGGTTCTTGTAAATATCTAATCTAGTTCTGCCGGAAGTCATATCCTTAGTAAAAACACTTATGTATATGACAACTCCAGCAAACATGGTACACATCAAGTGATGGACACAAGTTATCTATACTCTGAGCATTATCTAATGATGCTAGTGAAAAAAAATATTGTAGGAATACAATTAAAAGGGCAAGTACGGCGCTCCCTTGTGTTTGATCAGTATAAATTAGTTCTTATTTAGGTTTAAGTAAGTTTATTTAGGCATAGGTACACATAAGTACAACTATCATACGTAGTGTAAATTACCTATCATAACCCAAGAAAAAAGTTATAAAAATAAAATAAAATATTTATTTCTTTGCTTAGGTAACAATGTGTGTTTACATATCATAGTATGATTGGATTAAAGAAAGCCACTATCATGCCGAGGCATTTCAGGCAGACGTAACCTTATACTTATAGACTACTTTAAAAGTCTAGACATTAAAATGAGGTAGTACAATTTATGATATAATCAATCATACATTTTTAAGTTTGTAATTAAGTTCATATATTTTATTATTAATATGAAGTAGTACAATTAGTCACACAAACATACATACATAAGTATATAAAAATGGCTTAATAATTAAGGGATAATAAAGTATTAGGAGTTGCTTTGAATTTGGTTGGGGTTTAGCATGATGTGGGTATGTTTGTTATTGAGAGACGAGATGGTTTTTGAGTATGGTCCTAAACCGATTTGTGGGCAGGGGACCTCTTGCTGCTTCAGGCAAAGATTCCAGATCTTAGGGCCCTTAATGTGCATTGCATTTTTGCAAAGTGTGAGACGGACACGAGGGATGTCAAAAAGTGTTTTGTGCCTCGTGCTATGCCTGTGTGTTCTATTGAAGCTGTCTAGAAGTTTGAGCGGAAGGTTGATGTTGAAGTTTAATGTTCTGTATATGTAGCAGGCACAATAATAAGTGTGTATATTAAGTAAGTTCATGTTTTTGAAGAGAGGTGGGGTATGTTGTCTGGCGCTGGAGTTTGTGATCATCCTCACTGCCGCTTTTTGTTGGGTTAGTAAAGGTTTGAGGTGACTGGCCCTGGTAGATCCCCAAACACAAATACCATACGTGAGGTAAGGGTATATTAGAGAGTGATATAAGGTAAGGAGCGCCCGTTGGGGTACATAGTATCGTATTTTGGAAAGGATTCCTACTGTTTTGGAAACTTTCTTAGTAATATGCTGGATGTCAAGGTGGAGACCTAGAAATTTGCCATCAGTGTGTCTTGTAATGGGTGAACCATTTATCGATATGTTTAGCTAGATATTTGATACTCTGTTTCCATAAAGCATGAAGTAGGTTTTGTCTATATTGAGGGTAAGTTTGTTGGTAGTCATCCAGTTTGATATTTTAAGTAGCTCGCGGTTTACAGTGTTACAAAGTACAGCCGGGTTTGGGTGGGAGAAGACATGCGGTGTCATCCGCGAATACAACTGGTTTAAGGAATCGCGATGCATTTGGGAGGTCATTGATGTAAATAAGAAAGAATAGAGGACGTAGGACACTTACCTGTGGCACTCCACCAACTACAGGCTGAGTATTCGAGGTTACGTCATTTGTGTACAATACTGGTGTCTACCAATTAGGTAAGGTCCTCTGACCCCGTAATGCTCTAGTTTTAGGTGCAAGATATTGTGATCGACTGTATCAAATGCTTTCCGTAGGTCTATGAAGAGTCCCAGAGGATATTAATTTTTGTCAGTTGTTGTGTATAGTAATTCGAGCCTCTGAATAATTGCAGCATTCGTGTTCTATTTTTTTTTTTTTTTGGGGGGGGGGGCCTAAACCCAAACTGGCAGGGGTTCAGTATGGGATAGGTAGGAGTAGATTTGTTTATATATTATTTTTTTCGAAGATTTTTGAGAGCAAAGGCAGTTATTTAGTTCTGTGGGATCGCCTCCTTTGGGGATCGGGGTGACCCTTGCCGTCTTGAGTATGGATGGGAATTTAGAAGATTTAGCAGATTTGTTAAATAATTTCTTAAATAATGGGAGACAGCACATGAGCTGCTTTTTTTTTATACATGATTGTTGGCAAGTCGTTTAGGTCTCCTGCCTTGTTTTTTAATGATTTAATAATTAGTGAGACAGAATGATTCATTTTGCATACATAGCTTGCAAATTTCTGCCGTGTTCTCGAATATGCCTATACTGTTTATGCACGTGATGCACGAATGTAAATACTTTGTACGGAAGAAACATTATGAAACCAAAATAAACATCAAATAAACAGTAAGGCTCCTTTGATCTCATTGTGAGGTGGACCAACGAGCGCTCGAGGCTGCTGTGACGTATCACTACGTCATAGACCAGCCTCCTCTAACCACGAATCGACGCGATGTAAACAGTTACCCACGAGCAAGTGTGAGTGTTGGTGTGCTGCATCCCTCTCCACCATATTTATGTGGTGATCCTGCATCAAGATGTCAACGCCGAAACAAGTGGTGTGTATATGTTTGTATTGCGCTTTGCTTGTCCTGTAACGTCAGAATTGAGTGGCGCGAGTATGATGAGAAATGCGACGTATGAAGAGAAGCTGCCAGTGCATGAGGTCGTTGTTGAGGTGATCAGCTGTGATGCTAATGTACGCATCATGCGTCGTGATGTTAACGTTTACTCGAGTAACAGAAGCATCACAGCTGCTGTGGTAGTGACACTCTCCTAAGGCTGGTGATTTTCATTTTAGTTATTCCACGAAGGACCTAGTAATTTGAGATGGCTGTCCATGTTATGGTGTCGGAAGAAATTGTGTTGCTTCTAATAGTATAGGACCCCCACCGGAAATAAGTTACATTAGCATTAGAGAGTTATACTAGATTAATTTGTACATAGTGTATATAATACCATTGTAAAAAAAAAATAAGGTGCTAACCCTGTATAAAAAATTACCTGTAGCCCGCACTATCAAGCCTCAATCCATATAATGTAATTAATTCGCTCAAAATACAGCATTTACTAAAGTGAAGCAAAAAAAAATTGTATAGGAGCCTCATTGTAATTAATTTTTTGCATCCTGTGCCAGCTAATATATTTTTAACGTTTGAACATTTTCCTCAAGAGAGGTTCCTTGATGACTGGCAGGCTCTTGATTCAAGAAATTAGATAAAATAAGATTTATTCAGATTTTTAACCCAGAGGGTTAAAATAAGGACCCCAATGATAATAAGTTACTTTGACTTTTTTGGGTTATCCTAGGTAACCTACACATGTGCTGCTATGTATGATAATTTAGATAACTGTAATTTATTTAGTGAACCACGGACACTCAGTATATGAGGCAAGAGCGTTGCCAACTGAGCCACAGGCTCTCTTCCTTGATTGCCTTCCTTTATCCAACACATTATATCCCTGTGGATTTAGTGCTCTCCACATAAATATATATGTATTTAGACATGTTAGTTTTAGGTTATTTTTTATACCAGGTTAAATTAAATTGGAGTAGGTTACCCATGGACAGTTTCAGAAGAATGTGAGGATTTGGCCTACATACTGTTTCATATAAATACATACACTACATTACTTTTGTCCTGTTCAGTACTCAGTTTCTTTGTCCTGTTTTTTGTGTATTTTTTGTAGAGTATTATTTTTATATATTTTGTATATTAAACTTTTTTTTGTACTTTTGTAAATTGTTTTTATATGTATTATATATTAGTTTTTTTATATATATTTTTCATGTTTTTTTTGTATAGCATTTTTGTGTTTTGTGTGTGTGTGTGTGTGTGTGTGTGTGTGTGTGTGTGTGTGTGTGTGTGTGTGTGTGTGTGTATTTTATTCTGTATAATATTACAGTACTCTTTATATGTTCACTATTTCTGGTACTCTTATAATTGTTTTACTAGTGACTCATATTTTAGCATTGTTTTTATTACCATTATTGTTAGAAGCACAGTATTTGATAACTTTTGTCTCTTCCTTTTCACTTTCTTATTGATTCCTTATAGTAAAAGAATGCTAAATACTGATCATAATCAAAATCTTCTCTCTGATCACTATAAATATTATTTAGCTTGCCAAACAAAAACTATCATCAGCAGTGCTAAAAACACAGCATTAACCTACTGGACAAGCACCTAAAGTCGGTACCTGACCAGCTGTGCTGTGGCTCGTACGTTGGTTTGCGTGCAGCCAGCAGTAGCAGCCTGGTTGATCAGGCTCTGATCCACCAGGAGGCCTGGTCACGGACTGGGCCACAGGGGCATTGACCCCCAGAACTCTCTCCAGGTAAACTCCAGGTAAACACTGAGGCATCAGTGCACTCTAAAGAATCATTAAGTGCAAACCTAACTTTCATTATTTTTACAGAAATGTGGCTAAAACACATTACTAGAAGCATTTGTAATTTACCTAGGTACAAAGATACATATAACTGCAAACCCTGATTAAAAAGGTGGATTTGCAGTCTACTACAGAAGCTGTTTACAGATCATATACCAACATAGCTAACATTGATGATAATCTTTAACACCTAATCATGAACACTACATTCAGCATAACCTAATAATTTCTGGTGATTTTAACATCAACCTCATTCATTCAGAAGACCTGCAAATAGCCAGTTTCCTGAACATGTACAAATGCTAAATAATACCATTAATAACCAAACCTATGAGAATTACCAAGACAGTTGCATATTCACTTGACTACATCTGGACAAATATAATTCATCCAAAAGCAGGCTTTATTACCAACAGTTCAGCTGATCATTACCCCCATCTTTCGCATCATGAATGTAAAGTTATTTAAAACTAATAAAATCTCATTCAGGCTCATTGATGAGGCATCAGTGAATAATCTTTCCTTAGGAATCAATAACATTGGCAGAGAGAATTTAACAATGTTCAAGACATTAACTCGTGTGCTCACTTACAGTATTTGTGCAAAAAAATCAAAGCTTCTGCAATAAATGGCCATCCAACAGCATCCTCAGATCCATTGGCAAAAAGCATAGCTATAAAAAAATAAATTGAACTTAATACCCAAAGAACTATTAATATTATATACAATACAGCTAATAAAACACCTCAAGAGCAGTATTACACTAACAGGGTAATGAAACAAAAAGCCATGGAAGCACATTCAAATACTGGGTTCAAGTAAATCTGCTTAGACTAAAGAAATTATACTGACTAAATGAAATGAACCTGCCATCCAAAATGGTGAAACTGTAAATAAACAAAATAACTTCTCAACCAGTGACAAACCTAGCCAAGAAACTTCCATGCTCAAGTCAGAGACAACTTCCGATAATCACCCAAGCACTCTATACCTGTCTCCAACTATCTACAAAGGTAACTTTGGTAATAAATTTGCTAAAAGGTCAAGCAGGAACCAAAGTCAATATATCACCATATATAGTAAAGTACTGTATAGGAAAGGCTGCTCATGTATCACCTACTATTGCAGTATTGCTCAACAAACTGTGTATATAGAAACAAACTTTCCCAGATAGCAAAGGCTACACCAACCCACAAAGTGGAGAATCAAGAAATACATGTCACTTTAACTTGCTATAATTAACTAAAAAGATTGAAAAACTATGTAAACATAACCAAACACATCAGTAATAATCTTAACAGTTTGGTTTCATACCAAGTAAAAGTACAAATGACAAAATAATAAAAATACATGACTTAATCTATTCATCTCTAGAAATAATGAATATGCAGTGAACCTCTTTATTCATCTAAGAAGAGTTTTTGATACAGTAGAACACATCATCTTACTGCTTAGAACATTATGGAATCAGAGGCCATGCTTTCACATATCTATAAAGTCCAACCTTAACGACAGACACCAGTATGTGACCACTACTGACAGTACTTCATTAACTCCACCTGTCAACATGGGGGTGCCACACATCAGTGCCCAAGGGCCTCTGTTCTCTCTCATCTTCATCAGTGACCTACCTAATGCCTCCCAGAAACTTAAACCAGTTCTGTTTTCAAATGATACATCTTTTGTCAACTCAATCTAGATCCAATTGTCCTCAACATTGATGATGTGCTGGTGAAAATGTCTACATACTCTTAAAATATTGCACTCATTATTGATAAGATTTCCTACATAATGCTTGGGAGTAAAGCTAAAAATGTCACACTCAGAATTGATAAGACCTACATACTAAAGTGTTTTGGAATAAAGCAAAAAATATTCAGCTGAACATAATGGTAAAAGTGATGGGACAATACAAACACTTTTTGATGATACCAGTACACAATTTTAGGTTGATAATGATGCCATCAAAATTTTCCAATAACCACTAATATTGTCAAAATTTACCAGTACCCACCTTTACTGATACTCAATTTTAGGGAGGCACCAATGCTATTAAACTTTGCCAGTACTCTGGCACACCTTTAGTAAATAATACACACTTTGAAAGGGGAAGTAAAATTTAAAACTTGCATATAATACATATCTGAGAAAACTTACAAAACTGAAGTTTCTTTCAAAAATATATTACTGTACTATGTAAATGCACTGCAAACAATAGTAGATGTACTTATTCTTTACAACTCTCTAATCTATCCTTACCTCACTTGTGGCAAAAAAAAACACATGGATCAACTACATACAGCAAATCACTTACAACCCAATAAAAACCTGCTTCTAGCATGATCACCAGTGGAATTTTTGGGGCTTTACGACCAAAAACTCCATTGGCCTTCCAAAACCCCTCAAATGAATGATGATCACTCAATCATGTTCCTGACCCCCCCTTTCAGCCCCCAACACAACCCCTTCCCCACTAATGAAAAGTTTAAATTTACTCAACATACAAACATCCATACTAACACTAACTACTGTGCATACTTTATAGTACTCTCAGGGCACTCGGTTCAAATACGTACAGTAGTAACCCATTCCTAAGCCTTCTTGGAGAGCTGCAATAGAATGAATAGACAGTACAAGAAACAAAGACTTCATTGATATCTCTCGTGTTCAACTCAACCCAAGCAAAAATTCCATGCAGGTATATGACACAAAAGTATGGAATGCTCTACCAGAAGATTCTTAGACTTCAGTATCTTCTAATTGCTCTAAAAATATTGTTAACCCTTAAACTGTCCAAACGTAGGTCTACATTCACGTGCGGGGGGCTCCGAATGTAGATATACTTTTTTTTTACGTGCTTTCAAATGGGAAAAATAAAGGTTGGAGTGCTACGCACGTGAATGTAGATCTACGTTTGGACAGTTTAAGGGTTAAAAAGTACTTTGAGTTTATGTAAATTTACATAGATCAAATATAAACGTTAAATACAATGGTACCCCGAGTTTCGGCCATATTTCATTCCAAAAGGCTGATCGAGTGCTGTTACCAAACGAATTTGTTCGTTTCAGACCCCAAAGATACACTTACAAAAGCACTTATAATAATATACAGTGGACCCCCGGTTTACGATATTATTTCATTCCAGAAGTATGTTCAGGTGCCAATA